ATTACCCTCTTGGCAAAGTAAAAGAAAAGATTCTTTCATTATTTTACAAACCCTCCCCCAGGTCCACTCCACCATGTAGCCATCGCTCTAGACTCCTGTCATGACCTAAATACCGAATCATATATCTCGATAAAAGTGTTTTAAAAGCAAGTGTATGTCAAAGGTGATGAGGATTGGGTTTCAGACCATCACAATAAAGTAAAGAGAAAATGGCGATAAAGAGAATTACACCCCCCCCACCCACCCCCACCCCCAAAAAAGTCTGGCTTCTGACATAGAGTTTCCAAAGGCCTATTGTTTAAGAAGTGGATGCCAATCTTGCTTCCAACCCTGTCTTAATCTGGGAGCTTTACCAGACCCTGTCCACCCTGGGTAACCATTATGGCATTTGACAGACCAATGGCACAGTGTTCAGTATCACAGCAACACTATCTTACGTCAGTACAGCAAACTGACAGACAAATGCTATGTCACTTAGTACAGTGTTCTTTCCAAACAAAACTAACAGCAGGCCTGAGGGCCCAACTGACTTTCAAAATATAAAAAGCCTGCTCACCAGGTCCTGACTGACTTAAACAAGAGCTTCCAGCCTGTTGACTAAATCCAGGGGACAAATCAACTTACACATGTAACAAAAAAAACGACCCAACAGGTTACTTATGCCTGACTTAAATACAAAAGCCCGCCCACCAGGTCCTTCTTCCATTACAGATGGTATTTTGGGAGTTTTTGGTTGTTTTTGTGTAGGGCCACTATGAGGTGGCAGTGGGTTTGGTTTCGGGGAAGGGAGGCTTGATTACTTTATATTTTATTTATAGAGTCTAGAGCATTGTTTTTGTATTTTTTAATAAAGTAATTTTAGTGTACAATGTACCATTTTAATAAAAAGGAAACCGCTTACAAATGCTTTGCTATTTCAGGATGTCATGCAGCTAGTTCAGTTAGACAAATTTTCTGCTATTTTGGATTGTTACTGTGGGGTCATATGGTAATTCTAGTTGTAGTTTTCTGAAGAACCACCGTACTGTTTTCCATAGCAGCTGTATCATTTTTTTTATCCTTAACAGCATTGTATAAGGGTTCTATCTAATATTGCCACATCCTTGGTAATGTTTGTTGTTTCCTGTTTTTCACCCATCCTTTTGGGAATTGAATTAAACGATATTTTGATATATGTATAACTTGGTGGCTGGCTAATAACACTTTTAATATCTTTTCATGTGTTTGATGGTCATCTCCATATCCTTTTGAGTGAAATGACTTCAAGTATTGGTTTTTGTTTTGTATAATTGAGTTGTCTTCAGGTTGTTAAGTTGTTGAGGTTTTATGTATATTTTGGTTATTAAGGTCTTGTTGGATATATGAATTTTTTTTTTTTTGGATATATGAATTCTTAAGATACTTTTCTAGGATTGGATTAGGTTCACTTCTTTCATAAAGTCTTTTGCCAGTCAAATTTTTACATTTTTATAAGGTTCCTCTATGTACTTTTGCTAATTTATTGCATTATCCATTGATGAAAGTTAGGCTGAGAATTATTTCCTCTGCTTCTAAGAATTTTATGGTTGTAGTTTGCATAATTATAAGGCAAAGTTCCTGGTTCATTTTTTTGCCTGTGATTATTATTACGTTTTCTGAATGCCATTTCTCGAAATGATTTTTCTTTCTCCAACAACTGAACTTTAGCACCTCTTTAAAAAGCAGTTGACCATACATGTGTGAGTTTATTTCTGGGCTCTCATTTCTATTCTGGCGGTCTGTATATCTCCTCTTTTGTGCCTTTCAGACTGTTTTGTTGACTGCATATAACCCAAAATCCAGACTTACTGCTGTTCAGGCAGCAGTTCCAGTTCACAGCAAACCATGTATTGGGTTTCTAAGAGTGTGCATCTTAATAGGAGCAAACTACTCATCTTTTTCCCGTGGAAAGGCTGGTGGGTGCAAAGTACCAACTTTGCATTAGTAACCCATCACTTGACCTACTACACTGCCAGACCTCTTGTATCAAAAAAACTCTCAAGTTCACTGCCACAGAATTGAGTCAGACTCACAGTGATCCTATATTGGTTTTCCAAGGCTGTAAATTGCATCAAGAGGCATTTGTAATTTTTTTAAAAATTTCTTTGATTCTACCAAACTCCTGTTGGTAGTTTTATAATGTGTTGTTTAATTTCTTTTTTTAATTGAAATTTTAATGAAAGTTTACAGAGACTTTTGATATCCATTCATATTTTTGCACATTTTCCGTTTTCCTCCCTGCCCACCCTTCCCCCCTAGTTGGCTTTTCTCTTTGAAAAGAAAAAAAAAAATTCTTTCATTGTTACACAGTCTTCCCCCACCCCACACTTTACTATGCAGGTCTTATTCTGGACTCTTGCCATGAAAATAATGGCTAATCCTGTATTCCTTTTAAACAGTTCTCTCCCTCATCTGTTTCAATGCAATATGCATTACTTACCCTCTCTTAGGTTCCCCCTAACCCCTATGTCAGTCCCATTTTACAGCAGTGGCACTATGCAGTGTTTGTCCTTTTGTGACTGAGGTATTGCACTCAGTATAGTGTCTTCCAGGGTCACCCATTTTGTGTAATATTTCATGAGTTCCTTGTTTTTCAGTGCAGCATAATATTCCGTTGTGTGAATATACCACAGCTTCTCTATATCCATTCGTTTGTTGATGGGCACTTGGGTTGTTTCCAACTCTTTGCTATTGGGAACAAAGCTGCAATAAACATGGGTGTGCATTGTTTAATTTCTTTGAGTATTTTCTAGAGTTCCCTCCTTCCCCATTTATTGATGTCTAGCTTCACTTTGTTGTGGTTAAAATACTTCATATTATTTCACTCATTTTCAATTTCTCAAAATTGGCTTTTTGCACTAGAATGTACTCTGTCCTACAGAATGAGTCATACATGTGCACTGGAGTAGAATATATATTGTGCTCTTTTGGTGTGGAGTGTTCTATATATGTTAATGTTAGTTGGTTTATAGTGTCATTGAGATCCTCTATATCCTTGTTTATCTTTCGTGATGTTCTGCCCAGTATTGAAAGTGGTGTATTTAAATCTAATTACTATTACAGTACTGTCTGTTTTTCTTTAAAGTTTTAACAATTTTTGCTTTACTTACACATATGTGCCCTGATGTTGGGTGCATGTATATTTATGATTGTTTAATCTTGTGAATTGACTGGTTTTTTCAGTATGTGATGCCCATTTTTACTTCTTCTGACTGATTTTGTCTTAGATTTTGTCTGATATTGAGATTGCTCTCTTGACTATTTGCGTGGAATATTTCCCCCCTCATCATTTCACTTTCAACTTGTTCACATCCTTGGGTTTGAAATATGTCTCTGTTTAGCATATAGCAGGATCTTGGGTTCTTTAATCTGTTCTGCCACTCTATCTTTTATTTGAGGCATTTAGTTCATTTGTTGTTGTTAAGTGTTATCAAGTCAAGTAGGACCCAAAGCTACCCAGTGAGCCACCAATCTGAACCCTGGCCTATCCTGCAACATCCTTATCTTATTGTTTACATTCACTGTAATTACTGATAAGAAGTGACTTAACTCCTTCCATTTTGTTTTTTCATGTGTCTTAAACTTTCTTTGTCTGTGTTCTTTAGAATTGCTGCTTTTGTGTTTTGTTGGTTTGAAACTTTAATCAGGTTTCACAACAGTTACTAATGGTAAATTAGAAAACATTTTGCTATATAAAGTGTTAAGCTATCCGTTGGCAAACATGACTTGCTGTGTTAATTTCTCAACTACTGAATTCCACTTTCTTGATTTGCCCAGGCCCTGGATCCGACCGAACTGAAGAGTGAAGGCCTTGTGCTTTCCCTCGAAGAGCAGCTCAGTGCATTGACCCTCTCCGAACTCCACAATCCAGATCCATCTTCCATGGTTTGCCTTAATGGCACGTCTTTCAAGGCGGAGCTTTTCAAAGACGCTCGAGAGAGCACTAAGGTATTTTTGTCAGGTCTTATTCAGTTGTGACTTTGATTTCTTGCACATATTCCTGTGTAAGAAGCTGGTATGGCCATTTATGGCAAAGCAAGAACTATTAGATTATAGTTGATCAGATTTTTCCTTCTGTTCTTAAAACTTCATTGTATTTCACAAATATATAGCCCAGAATCACGGCAGATTTGCTGTCATGGATTACTGAGAGAAGAGCATACCAATTTTATGTGAAAACTGGCTAAGGAACTGAGCAAATTTTTAAGGGAAAGCTTTAAAGGAAGGCAACAAAGGCTAGAGACTGTGTTATACATATGAGCGAGCGCTTTTAGTAAATACCCAAGGAACTTATGTGGAAGCTTTAACAAGTACTCATCAGTCTGGAGCAGCCCTCTTTTAACATTTGGATTGTTGTTGGCTTTAAAGTGGGCAGAGCTCTTGTACTTGCTCCTTTTGTAAATGTTAAAATAGGATCTTCTCTTTTATTCGTGGTGTGCTAGATGTTAGGAGTTCAGTCATAGCCTCCTTGGAGCATCTCAAGTAGTGAAAGCAAATGGTTATTCCTAAATAGTTAATTTACAGTGTGATAAAGTTCATGACAGTAGACATAAAAAAGTTCTGCAGTAATGTGTAGATAGTGGGTATACCTGCCTCACTTATTTTTGGAGGCTGAGGAGGACCTCTGAAAAAAAGTGATAGTAAGCTGTTTTATAATTGTGTTCTAGGCAAAAGGAACAGGATAGACAAGCTATGACATATTGGAGGAAGGCTTTTTGTATAACAAGAGCATTGAGTTTGAGATCATAGTGAGAGATGGATGAGTCCAGAGAAGTTGAGACTAGAGCAGCAAAGCCTGGTAGGTCATTTTAAGGACTTTATACAGACAGACAGGGGAATGTGCAATTTAGAAATACCCCTCTCACTGCAGAGAAAATTAAATAGAAAAGTAGTAGGGTAACACTAGAGGCAGAGGGGCCATCTAAGAGGCTGCAACAATAATTCAGGTTAGAGAAAATGGGGGGAAAAGTGAATTTGCTTAAACCTACATATGCTAATGTAACGTTTTCCCAGATATCATCTCTGTTGGCAGAATTGGAGGCAATCCGAAGAAATTCAGAGTCCCAGAAGAGGTAATATGTTGTTTCCTTTTCCAAGTATTAGCTACAATTAAGTAAGAAAATTTGATGCTGTTTGGTACGGAGTGAATTGCATCCTCCTCCAAAGTATGTGTTGTAAGTTCTAACCTCTATGTCACTAAGATTATAGCACAAATTCCCTCTGATTTCTAGTTAAAATATTTGTGGTACAGATTGGAAGGAAACCCCTAAAGATTCAGGATAAGCTAAGCGTCTGAAGAAACTTAAAAGTAGAGATGCATATAAAGAAAAGCAAAGGTTTGGAACTTCAGAAGGGCAGGTGATGTTCTCAGGATAGGATAGGTGCCTAGGTATGAGGATGTATTCTTATTTGTTATACCTTACATAAGTGTTATACAGCAAAACAGCAAAATTCAAACCATAGTTGGGATAGGATGAGTACAAGGTTGACAGCTTGGTGTTCTATCTGCATGGCCACAGATCTATTGGTAAGCACATGGGCTCCAAATGAGAAAAAATTGCACTCTTTAGTTTGGTCTCCACTTTATTCTGATTTAAAAGTAAATCTATAGGATAGATCTAGAAATAATGGCTGTGCTGTAATCCTCCAGCTTGTGAGTATTTTTTTTCCCTTTGGAGGTCTTTTTTCCTAGTTTAACCTGTTTTTGGCTTCTCTTCCTGCCAGTGTCATTGTTTCCCAGTGGGCCAGCATGCTTAAGGTTGTAGCATTGCACCTTGAGAGACGCGGACTGACTTACGCCACCATTGATGGCTCTGTCAACCCCAAACAGAGGATGGACTTGGTTGAGGCATTCAACAGTAATTCCAAGGGCCCACAGGTACAAGTTGGTAATGTGAGGCTATGTGATAAAAAGAGCAATTTGACCTTTGTTCTGTATATAGTCATAATATAGCAACTTGGTTTAACAATACTTTGAGCCTTGATAATTTATTGGGATACCTATCAAAGTATAAGAACAACCTAAAGATAATGAAAAGAGAATAAAGTACAAAGAAGACTGAAAGGAGAATAAGATCAGAATTGGTTAGGATCAAGAGAGTCTTTGTGAAGGGTAAAGATGTGAGGTGAACCTTAAAAGATAGGGGGCATTAGATAGGATATAGAGGGAAGTGGAAGAAGTCAGGCATGCAATTGTGGATAATCAGAATTTGGAATGCATTAGTAATAGGTAGGAGAACGATAGCTTTAGGGAACAGAGGGCTGATGGAATAGATATGATCTCCTTAATGGATAGATACCCACACTAGGCAGTATTGGGCTCTCAGTTGCGGTATTTGCATATTTTGTCAGTCTCACTCAATTAGTGTTTTACGGTTGACTCAAAAAATGAAGTATAAGATTCGGAATGAAAAACAGTATATACTCACTTTATAAGTAAACCAGTATATATTTTTAAAAAAAAAAGAAATACATATTTTCACAAACTTGATGCATAAGAAATAGCATATTAAATTTTTAAAACTATTGTAATGATAGCAGAAAGATGTTTAATAGGATTAAATTTAATAACATTGATTATTTGTATTGATCTTGGACTTGAACAAAAGTGCAAAGAAGAGATATTTCAAGAGATCAGCTTTATATAAAGTTAATGGTTTACTCCTTTTGAAGGTTATGCTAATCTCACTCTTGGCTGGAGGTGTTGGTCTGAACTTGACAGGAGGAAACCACCTTTTTCTTCTTGACATGCACTGGTAACTATTCTGGAACTTTCTTGCATTGTCATGACATTCCAGGGAAAATAGGGGGCCAGAGGGACACTCACTCTCATTGCTGTCTCGTTAGTAAGGTTTCTGCGGCTCTAAATCTCATATGAAGACATTGCTCACCTTTCATCCTTGAAGCTGCTGGTGGATTTGAACCACCAGAGAGGTGCAGCCTTTTTGTTAGTAGTGCAGCTCCCTGCAGACCGTGACAAAAGAGCACTCTTGAGGAACAATAGGGACATACGTATTTTGAATGTGGTCTTTTTTCTCTTGTAGAAATGCTTCCATATTCATTTGTTTATAACGACAGATCCAAAAAGGGTGCTGAGCTAGCTGACTTTCCTGAATCTCTGAGCAAGCAGGACTTCAAATAACTGCTTAAAATCGTCCTTTCATTTTAGTGTTAATGTACCAACTGTTTCCATGGTAACTGGAAGCAGCTTTTCCTCACAGTGAAAGGCCTAACACCTCTCAGTACTACCTCCTTTCCAGAACACATTCCAGATGTAATTATTTATTGAAAACCAAACAAATATCAATCTTTGAGAAGTCCTTTCTTCCTAAAGAAAAAGGCTAATTCCATTTTCTAATTATGTTAAAAGTAAGCTTAACATATAGCCCCTACACTCAACCCAATCCAGGAGAATAATAACATCCTTCCTGAATGGAAGAGGGGTGTGTGTGTGTGTGTGTGTGTGTGTGTGTGTGTGTGTGTGTGTGTGTGTGCGCGCGCGCGCGCGCATTCGTGCTGGAAGTAAAGCTTACTGATCTCAATTTTTTATATTTCATATGCAAATCAAGGATGGCACTGTTACTAGATATTGCTATTTGGCTAAGTCTTCAGGCCATTCTGATTGGAGCCAACATACCAAACTATTTTTCTCTGTGTAGAGAATGTATTTAGATCTTGGGACTCCCCTATACATGTGAATGAGGAAAGCATGCTAAGAATGTATGATAAAAAGGATATTATTTTCTGAAGTGGAGAAATATTAGCTAGGATTTTAAAGAGGTGAAACAAGAAATTGGTTTGGAGTTGATGATGCGAATTTATGAAGAAGGAACAAATTAATTCTACTTGATTACATCATTTAATTTATTAAAGTAGAAAAAAATGTATTTGAAATCATTTAACCAGCCCTCCTGGTTTCCAAGTAGGAGTCTGAAGTCTTGAGGGTTGCGGTTAGGTGATTTGCCTAAGGTCATTCAACTAGTTAGTGACTGGATTTGAGTCTAAGTGTCATCTCAGTTATTTCCTCGCTGCACATGATGATTGAGCTTCAAGTTACCATTAACAATCTATACATAGTTTCTCATCAAATGCCAAGAAAGCACCTTGAAACTAATTTTTCTTAGGCCAGGACAGCCTGTGTCAGTGATTAGCAAACTTTTCCTGTAACTAATTTAAGCTAGATGGTATATCTTTTGGCTTTGCATGCAATATAGGTCTCTGTCACATAGTCCTTATGATTTTTTTTTTTATTCCTCCCCACACCCCACTGTTATTTTTCATTACTGTTGAGATGGAACTGATTCATAGCTGGCCCTCCAGCAGGTTTTCAGAGGCCATGAACTACACAGGAGGAGATTGCCCATCCTTCTTCCAACGAGCTGCTAGTAGATTCAAACTGGTAGATTTATGGTTGACTGTACAACTCCCTACTCATATAAACCAACCAACCCACGATCCAGTCAGTCTGTCCCGTAGTGACCGTCCACTGGGTTTCTAGAGGAGGGGTTCTCTTTATGGGAGGAGATTGCCCATCTTGTCCTGAGGAACAGCAAGTGAATTTGAATTGCTGACTTTTTTGCAGAGGAACACGTAACCAGCAGGTTGCCTGACCAGGGCTCCTTAAATGTACTAAGTCATACTTTAGGATACAGGCTCGAGTTGACCTATTAACCATAATTTACTGACCCTTAATCAGGGACACAGTGTCTTTGAACTTTACCCTCTTCTAATAGGAATCCATCACTTGAAGATCAAGCTTGTGATCGCATTTACCGAGTAGGGCAGAAGAAAGATGTTGTCATACACAAGTAAGTGAAGGTCTAAGACCCTTTCCCAACTTTCATGAAAGGCTTTCTTGAATGGTATTTTTTAAAATGTAAAGCATTTGATGATTACTTTTGAATGGTGCTTCCAAGATATACTCTCCTTGGACACAAGATAGAAGTGAACACAATTTAGAGTAACCTTGGATCTGGTCCCTTTATATGAAGAATAGGAAGGGTTGTGTAGAATAGTGAGATGTATCTCAGAGCAGCTTGAACTAGGTTATTTCCTTAGGTAACTGCAGACATAGTATCAATCAGAATGTTAATACAGGTATAATGCTATTTTTTGTTCTATATATCTTTGTAAGATTTTGCCTATTATCCCAATGATGTATTTCTTAGCAAAAGAAAAATGTTTTTAGCATTCTGTTTTAATTTTATTTAATTTGGAACAGTACCTCTGTGTTCTTTTTGTTTTATAACACTGATATTTTTGAAAACTAAACTCTTAGGTGTAGAATCTTCTATATAGGACTCTTCTTTTCATAAACAATAAAGCATATCTTAAATAAAGCATATCCACTCTACCTGTGGCCCAATCTTTCTTTTCATAGTCATGTTTTCTGAGTAATTGGAAATCACCATATTGTTTATTTAACCTCTGGAAACTGGTTTCTACCCTGTTCTACTGAAATTGATGTTGTTAAGGAATACTAACAACTTCCATATTTGCCAAGTATACTGACTTTGTTAGTTTCCCTTTGTCTCTGTCCCTGTTAGCTTATTCTGTATTCTTATCTCTTTTAATAATACTTCTACTCACTTCACTAAGTGAAAAAATCTGTATTGAAATTTCAAGATTTCCTAAATTGCAGACTATGATAGATCTATGGATGGATCCCTGCTAGGTGTCTGAAGTTGAGCATCCCTGTGCTATCCCACTGCTCCTTTATCTCATTCAACAAAGACCTATTGTGTGTACCATGTAGTTGGAAATGACTTCTGGTTTCCTTCAGTCCAGCAAGCAAACCCTTTATTTTGGCTCCATCCAGAATTCCTCAGGTTGCAGTCTCTTCATAGCAGTGCCACAATCTTTTCACCCTCTCTTCACCACCACTTCTTATGGAAAGCACTCTCTTATATTGGTCCCACAGCTGTTGTCTACAATGAAGGTAGCTAGAGACTATGCTTCTAGCAGGGGCTAATGCAATGGATAATAAAACAAATTTTCAAGGCTTCTGACACCACAATCTGCAAAATAGAAAGTAGATTTCTTAATATGGTCATACATATGAGATGTTAGATAACGAACTAGCCAATAAGAGCACAGATGGTGTACTTTTTGTGAAGGGGTATAGTCTGCTTATATTACCTCTCTGATAGCTTCAGAAATAGCCAGTTTGAATCATATCTTTTTAAATGAAGATGTCTTTAGTAAAAATTGTTTAGATCTCTAAATCATAAAGTTCTTAACTGAACCCATGTTTATACTAAATACAGGAAGAAATATCATTAAAAACTAAAGCATAGTAGAGGTTTGAATACATTATTAGATGTATACTTCTTGGGGAGTTTTCACTGTCTTCTTGTTATTTAGATTTGTTTGTGAGAGAACAGTAGAAGAGAAGATACTACAGCTCCAAGAAAAAAAGAAAAATCTGGCCAAACAGGTCCTGTCGGGATCAGGAGAATCTGTCACCAAGCTCACTTTGGCCGATCTCAAAGTTCTTTTCGGCATTTAACCACCTGTTCATAGCGTCCAGGATAGTGCCACCACTGGTTTGCAATAGGACCTGGGAATAGCATGATTCTTAACCTCTATTGTTGGCATTCTTTCACTATCAGGTTTTATGCCTTCAGAGACGCCAATTTTGATCCCAGAATTGAAGGTCTGTTATCATGTTTATCAGTTTTTTTATTTAATGAGTGGTAGGTAAAATGTTGCAGGGTTAGATTATCTGGGAAAACAAGTCTGACAGAGTTCAAAAGGCTTGTTCTAGCCTTTCTCATCTGAGGAGGGAACCACTGTTAAGTTTTCCCAGCACCGTATCTAGTCCGTCTCTTCTTGCCAATGAGACTAATCCTGAAAACAGCTCTTACAGGTCGATCAGAGCATAGATTGCTTCAGCCAGGAAGTTCTATCTCATACACAGATGTTTGGTATTTGTATCATTTATTATTAGATCACCCAGTATTTGAGTCATAGTATCATTTAACATTTGTGTATTTATGTATCTCTTTTAAGAATATTTTCTTTCTTATATATTTCTGTATTTTTAATGTTTCACGGTATTTGTATCTTAGTATCATTTATTATTTGTGCCTTTGTATTATTTGCTGTTTATTCCAACTATTTGTATCTTAGTATAATTTAGTATTTGTGCCTTTTTATCATTTACTCTTTATTGCATTTTATATAATCATTAATTCTTTCAGTATATGTAGTATTAGGTAGTAAGTGTGTGTTTAGTATATGGAAAGACAGTGCTATGTATTCATCAAATTCCATTTCCTTTTCCTCCTGAGTACTCAGAGATTACATCTCCTGAGTTTAGATGATGCCTTAGATCTTAAAGTGGAGTGTGGAGAAGGGTAATTATATATCATGTCTAAATTGCCCTCTAATAAAACTTTCCAAATCATTCTTTATGCTGTTTCTTCTTCATCAACCTGCTTGACATAGAAGAACTGGTGGAAGACCATAATGTCTTAAAGAATGGGAATGAGAGGTTTTTAAACTTTCCCTTTCTCTATGGGCCTTTGGTGGTTCCTGGCTGACCATGTAGAACAAAGCTGCTTTCCTCGTGTGTGCTCCCATCCTCACCCAGCTCACATATATTGTGCTCACATCACATACATTGTTCACAGATATGAACAAGAAAGAAACCTTTTTTTATTAAGCCACTTGGCAGTTGGTTAGCAGTTAGCATATTTTAATACAGAGATGTTTGAGAATTTTCCATTTCTGGAAACGACTCTACTTCAGATTAGCATCCTTTTCCAAAATGTTAATTCCTGGTTTCTGCTAGAAAGAATCATAGTTCTTAATAGAAATGTCGTCTTCTCAGATTTAGAATTAGCAGATAACTCTGTGTTGACCTTGTCACAGTTTAGGCTGAGGCACACTGCAGTCTAAGTGCTAAGGACAAGACATCAAGACCTAAGGACAGTGTGACTGGGGGCAGAGTTTTGTTTTATAAGCTGATTTCACTCTAATACCAGGTTCACTTTAGCTGGGCTATAAGCCCAAAAGAATCATTAATGTCTCTATACTTTTATTTCCTCATTTGTGAGGTAGGCATTGTTTTTTAGAACTCAATAGCTACAATAAAGTCACTGACTAATACCAAGAAATGATGAAAATAAGAATAGTTTTTGAAGAGTTATGCTACATGATCCACACATCAGGGCAAAGAGAGTCACCTGACTGATAAACAACATTGTGACAGGTAGAGAAAAGATTGAAATTGTCAATATTTCATCTTAGAGCTACTACCAACACCCTTGATACCAGCAGTCAAGGAGTCAAAAGATGAAGCATATTAGGAAAATCTGCTGTCAAGGACCACTCCAAAGTTCTAAGGAGCAGTGACTTCAGTTTAAAGACTAAAGTTTGTTGCTCCCTGGATGCCCTGGTCCCATCAAAGCCCTCTGAACTGTGCCAGGAGCACATGTGAAGCCATTTCCTACCCCCTCCCAGTATTTGAGCTCCCTTGATCTGCTGACCCTTTGGACCCACCTAATTCACAGGTCATATCTCTCCCCAACTGAAGCAAGTCTTCCCATGAAGCAAAGCACCAGAGAGAAACTCAGGCTGAGTAGCTACATCACCCTCATCTGGAACAGTGAGTTCCTGAGCCAAAGTTATCAGACCAAGAGTCTCCTAAGGCCTCAGGTATGAAAAACTCTTACCACAGCAGTGACATGAAAGAAGCAGACCACCTTGCAGCCTACACAAATCCAAAATAAGATGTCACACCCCCCCCCAAAGTGACACAGTATCAATGGATTTCCTGAAGTCTGAAAGTCTGTTGGAACTTTATGACACAACATTCAAAAGAACAATGATTGAATATGGGTGAAAGATAAACTCGAAGAATTACAGGATTCTGCAAGCAAAAACTAAGAGGGACTTAAAAAAACAAACCAGGCATTAGAGGCTCTGGAAAAACAAGAAACCACAATCCAGAATATGAGGACCAATGTTTCAGATGCTGTTAACATGTTGGCAGGACATATAAATAGAGCTCAAGAGATGGAACACGGGACCAGTGAAATAGAAGATAGAATTCTCACCACCGATCAGCTAGAACAAAAACCAGAATCAAAGGGAAGGAAAAAGAAGAATGCCTAAAAATAATGTGGGACACCATCAAGAGGAGTAACATGCACATAACCAAATTCCAGAACAGGAAGAAGCAAGTAAAGGCACAGAGAAAGTTGTGAAAGAGTTACTAGAAGAAAGCTTTCCAGGCATAATAAAGAATGGTGTTGTTGCTGTTGTTATGTGCTGTCGAATTACTTGCAACTCCTAGCAACCTTATGTACAACAACTCTAAACGTTGCTGTCTCCCTTGCCAATCTCGTTGTCTCTGACACACCTATCCCCATTGCCCCAGTGACTGAATCAACATCTCATTGAGGATATTCCTCTCCTGCGCTGTTCCTCCCACTTCCCAAGCATGACGTCCCTCTCCAAGGACTATTCCCTCCTTGCAATATGTCCAAAGTATGTCAGACAAAGCTTCAGAATCCTTACGTCCAAGGAACAGCCTGGTTTCACCCTCTCCAGGACGAACTTGTTTGTTCTCCTAGCAGTTGGTCTATTCAGTACTCTTCTCCAGCACCAAAGCTCAAAGGCATCAACTCTCCTTCTAACATCCATAGTCACTGTCCAGCTCTCTGATGCATAGCAAGTAATGGCAAAGACCATGGCCTGTATCAGGCACACCTTAGTCTCCAGACATCATTGCTCCTCAGTACCTTGGAGAGGTCTCCGACAGCAGACTGTCCAGTGCAATTCGTCTTTTAATTTCCTGGCTGCTGGTACCAAGAATTGATTGTAGAGCCAAGCAAACTGAAGCTGTCAACAACCTCAATCTCTTCACCATCTCTCATGATGCTGCCAAGTGGCCCAGTGGTGAGAATACTTGTTTTCTTGACATTGAGCTTCAATCCATATTGAAGGCTGCCAGTACTTGACCTGCAGCAAGTGCTTCAGGTCCTTCTCAGTTTCAGCAAGCAGGGTTGTGTCATCTGCTTAATGCAGACTGTTGGTAAGTCTACCTCCAATCCTGATGCCACACTTCTCCTTATAGAGCCCGCCTCCTGGATAATCTGTTCTGCATATACTTTGAAAAGATAGGGAGACAAGACACATCGTTGACACACACCATTCCCAATTTTGAACCATGCAGTGTTTCCTTGCTCTGTCCTGACAGCTGTCTCCTGGTCCGAGTATATGTTTTGCATGAGTACAAACAAGTGTTCTGAGATTCCCATTTTTCTCAAAGTCAGCCACAGTTTGTTGTGATCCACACAGTCAAATGCCTTTGCATAGTCAATGAAACACAAATAGACATTCCTCTGGTACTCTGTTTTCAGCTAAGATCCATCTGACATTAGCTATAATATCCCTAGTGCCACAGCTGCTTCTAAATCCAGCCTGCATTTCAGGCAATTCTCTGTTGATGTGCTGTTCTAGTTGTTTTTGGATGATTTTCAGCAGAATCTTGTTTGCATGTGATATAAATGATATTGTTCAATCATTTCCACACCCTGTTGGATCACCTTTCTTTGGAATGGGAACAAATATAGATCTCTTCCAGTCACTAGGCCAGGTGGTTGTCCTCTAGATTTCTTGGCACAACTTGGTGTGCACATCCAGGGCATCATCTTTTTTTATGAAATAAGTCAATCTGTATGCCATTAATTCCTGGGCCCTTGTTTTTTTGCCAATTCTTTCATAGCAGTTTGAACTTCCTCCTTCATCACCACAAGCTCTTGCTCATATGTTGCTCCATGAAATTCTTCTGTGTCCACTAATTTCTTTTGGTACAATGACTATAATCTTTCCATCTTCTTTTAATGCTTCCTGCATCATTTAATATTCTGCCCAAAGCATCCTTAAGTATTGCAACTCGAGGTTTGAATTTGTTCTTCAGTTCCTTCAGCCTAAGAAATGCTGAATGAATTCGGCCCTTTTGATTTTCTGACTCCAGCTTCTTGCACATAAGCAAACACCATATGGAACAGACCCCTAAAGAAAAATATCAAGACATATAGTCAAATTTTCCAGAACCAAAGAGAAAAAGAATACTGAAAGCAGCTAGAGAGAAATTGATAGTAACCTATAAGGGAGATTAAATACTAATTCTCAGCAGAAACCACGTGAGCAGGAAGACACTGAAATGGCACATATCAAACAAGAACTCAACTGTTAACCAATAATACTGTACCCAGTAAAACTGTCCATTAAATATAAAGGAGAGATCAAGATGTTCTCAGAAAAGCAAAATCTAAGTGAGTTTGTAGAAACAAGACCAGTGTTGTAAGAAATACTCAGAGAAATTCTTCATACAGAAATGCCACAGAAAGCAGGGTGGACCAAAGTAATCAGAAACAACACCAAAAAGAACAAAATGATAGCAACAAAACCTTGTCTCTCAATAATTACACTGAGTGTAAATGGTTAAAATGCTCCGTTAAAGAGAGAATAGCAGATTGGATAAAGAAAACCCAG